ACTCGATTAGCATTTTACAGCTTTAAGAAAAAGGCTCGTTAGTGCTGCTGATCATGCAAAGACACACACACACACACACACACACACACACACACACACACACACTGATGTTTGTTCACCTTCATACAAAGTCACAATATTTAACAAAGCTTCAAGTAATTTATAATAATTGAAAGTTGTTCAGAGATTTAAAATAATTTGTCCTAAAATGAATTCAAATATGTTTAGTTTACAAAATAAAACACACAAATGTAACTAAACCAGTGAAACTAATCAGATCCGAGATGAATTTTGATAATTGGTTCATTCTCTTTCTCTTTTTTTTTGTGTGTCTCCTTGTTTAGAAGATGTTTTCGTTGATGCTTCTGTTCGGAACCACAACCAGGCATCGTGTAGAAACCTGAAACCACTGAAGCGTCTGAACCGTCTCTACAGTTTAATGTTAACGAGTCAGAACTTCACTGAACGTTTTGTTTCTGTTCCTGTGACTTTTTCTGCCTCTGATGACGTTGGAGACAGAAACGTGAGGTTTCCTCACAAAAAAGCTCATAAAAGTGAATCTCATTCATGAAACGTGTGAAGAAGCGTGACGGACACGCACCGAGACGAGTTTCAGGTTAGAAGCCAAACGTCACACTTGCTCGACAACCATCGACATCACCGTGGTTACAACATGTTCAGTGTTAGTGGGAAATCAAAGAGCGCCACCGCAGCGAGTCACTCCACGCAGACCACCGCCACCATAGTCCCCGCCTCCAGCTGCAGGGGGAGTTGCCGTTACAAATACTGTCCCATGCTTCTCTGATGCCCACCTCCAAACTCAGGCTGCCTGCCGTTGGGCCGCTCACGGCCCAGGAGGAGGGCGCCGCCGGCTGCGACGCCGTCCCTCTGGACCAGGCTGTCCCTCAGCTCCTGGACCTCCTGCGTCAGTCGCTCGACCAGCGGGAGGCCTGAGGGGTCCTCCATCTGCCTCTGGAAGTTCTGTAACACACACACGTGTAAGACATGCAGTCAGGAGCTGGGACGGAATCAAACCTGCGGCCTCCTGGGGACAATGTGGTTCTTAAATTCAATCTTTCTTTTTTACACATTGAGAAAAATGTTTTCAAACGGGATCGTGTGAGAAACAGAAGATGCCTGCAACACATTTCAAAAACCAAACCTTCCTGTGGGTTAACCAGCAGCTTCCTGGACCGTTTTCAAAATGAAACTTCAGGAGGAAGTTTAACAGACAAAGTTTTGCTGAATGGAGTCGGTGAGTTTGATCGTGTGAGTGATCCCTCGCTCTCACTGACCCTGATAAGCTCCTCCTTCACCAGCAGCGTCCTGCTGAGGGCGTCCAGCCTCGCCGTCTGACTCCTGCTCAGCTCCTGGTTCTCCTTCTCCCTCCTCAGGGCCAGACGCAGCTCCTCCTGCAGCTCCACGGCCGAGTCTGTTCCGGAGTCGGGTCCTGAGCTCAGCTGTTTGCGGAGCTCCTGGAGTCTGGACGTCTGCTCGGTCATCACCTCACCGAGCTGCCGCGCAGCGTCCTGGAGGGAGAGAGTCGACACTTATAAACATATCAGAGATATATACTCACATGTTGTGTTTTACTTCAGCCTCCTCTGCTCCACCTGGATGTACTGGTCCCTGGAGCTGATGGATGTGAGCAGAGCCTGGACCTGGTCCTGGTGCTCCTGGGCCTGACGGGTCCGATCGGCGAGCACTTCCTGGAAGAGGCGGTCTTTGAGCTGGAGGCGGACTTTCAGCTCCTCCAGAACGTCGCTGGGAGCCGAGTGGACCTGAGCCAGCAGGGAGCAGCGCAGATCCTGCAGCCGAGTGAAGAAGAGAACCAAGTTGAAACGTGAATCCTTGAGGGAGAATCAGAATTAACGGATATTCACGTCGTTGCTCCTCCGCGTACCTGCGCCTCCTGCGTGCGAGCGAGCAGCGCCGCCTGCAGCTGCCCGATGATGGCGTCTCGCTCCCTCAGGGACCGACTCTGCCTCTCCTCGCTCTCCTGCTGCTGCCGCTGAACGTTGCGCCAGGCGTCACACACCTGCTCCAGCTCCACGGCTTTACCACGCAGCAGCAGCTCCAGGCTCTGACACACACACACACACAGAAATTAATCCAGGAGATGAGCGGTGTGTGTGTGTTTGCATGTGGTGTGCGTGTGCGTGTTCTCTCACAGTGATGGTCTCCTCGTTGTTGACCAGGACGCAGCGTTGTCTCTCCAGGTCTCTCTCCTTCTCTCTGAGCAGGAGCTTAAGACGTCGAGTCTCCTCGTCTTTCTCTTCCACACAGCGAAACTTCTCGTCCACCGCTCGCTGCACAATTAAAAAATTCTATGTCACTGAATCCGACAATTTTGGTTCAAACGACCCAAGAACATTTATCAGAACGAAAATAAAAACGTCTCGTCTCTGAGTTAACAAGTGATTCTACTGATTCTACTGTCTGTCGGTAAATGTTGGACTTTGTCGTCACTGGTTTGAGTTAAAGTAACGAGACGACTCAGGCCTGAAGCCAGAGCGACAACACGCTGCTCTCTGACGAGTCACTGAGCGACGGCTTTTTACCTCCAGAGCTCGATCTCGTTCTCTGACTCGCTGCCGGAGTTTGTGAAGCTGAGAGTTTCTCTTCTCGTTCGAATGATCGTCCAGCAGCGTGCAGTATTCCTGACGACAGGAAACACAGACGTGGTTAGTTGAGCGTGATCCTTCACTTTGACAGGTTTGTTGAGAGTGAGGAGATGTGTTGTTGTGTACAGTGTGTTAGTTTGTGTGTGTCTGACCTCCAGCAGCTGATCTTTGGTCTGAAGCGACGTGGTCATCTCTCTGATGGTCGCCTCTCTCTCCTCCTTCTCCCTCTCCCTCTCTTGCTCGCCCTCTCTCAGCTGCTCCTCTCTCTCCTGCAGGGCCGATCGAGCCCTGTCCAGAGCCGACTGCAGCTCCTGCACGTCGCACGGCAACAACACAACATCACACCAGAGCCCACAACCAGGAGCGTCTTCGTCATCATCTCTTCAGTGCATCTCACCTGGTTGTGCCGCTCAGTCTCCCTCCTGTGCTGCAGCGCCCCCTGCAGGTCTTTCTCCAGCCTCTGCAGGGCTCGGGTCAGGTCCTCCCGCGTTCTGGCCGCCTGCCGCTGCGCTCGCTCGCCGGCCTGAAACTCCAGCTGAGCCTGGAAGAGCGAGGCCTGCAGAGCCAGAACCTCCCCCTGACCTCGAACACTCTCCGCCCCCGACGACTGCAGGAGAACCCAGGAGAGAGAGGAAGAGGAGGGGACAGAGAAGGAGGTGAGTGAATGGTGAGTGATGAGACGTCTCCATGTTGGAATCAGACTGTGACAGAGAGGACGAACCTGCAGCTGCTGCAGCTGCTGGCGGTTCGTGAGTTCTTTGAGAGAACACAGCATCTTATTCTGCTCCTCAATCACCTGGTACAGGTCTGCAGCCTGCACACACACACACACACACACACACACACACACACACACACACACACACACACACACACACACACACACAATATCAACACTGTTCCTACATGAAACTGTTCATCTTCACATCTGACACTTGATTTCAGTCTTGCTTTCATTTCCTTCTATTCCGTTATTCCACCATCTTATCTTGCTCCATCCCTCCCTCCCCCTCCTCTTCTCCCTCCCTCCCTCCCCTCCCTCCCTCTCTACCTCTGCCTCCTTGGAGCTGAAGTTATCACTGATGTTCTGGATGTTTCTCTCCTGCTGCTGAGCTTCCTCTCGAGCCGACCGCAGTTCCAGCTCCATCTCACCGAGACGCAGTTGCAGCTTCTACACACAGACACACACACACACACAGACACACACACACCTGCATCAGTACATAATGAATGTGAAACACTTCAGACTGTGGTTGAACTCTCCTGCTCTGTGTCCGTACCTGGTTCCTGGTCTCGCTCTCTCGGATCTTTTTCTGCAGCGAGCGGACCTGGTCCTGGGCCTTCTGCAGCTCGCCCACACACTGACCTGCGGCGCTCTCGTAGTGACTCAGCTGATCCTGCTGCTCATCGATCAGCCGCTGGGAAACACAGGAGGAATTTAAAGAAATCTGAAAAGATTCCTGAGCTTTTCTTTGTTGTTTTATTATAAAATGATGTCGATTCTTCTGGGGCTGTGAAGAATCCTGACATGAAGGTTTGTTCTGTGTGTTTTTCTAATTTAAAAGCTATTGAACTCAGAGGATCAGTGGTTTACACACAGTGTGTCGTCGTGTTTGTGTCGATGAGTGAATGAAAGTGGAAAGAGACGTCAGCTCGCTGTTGAACGACTTCCTGAGGAAGCGGCTGTTGCCACGGGAGCATGTTGTTGACTTCCTTGTTTTTCTTTTTAAAGAATCGAGCACTGGCCCGACGCGTCTCTGGGACATGATTAACAAGTGCACTGATTTTATTACTCGCTTGTGATTATTCTAAAATACAGCTATGTGTCTGTCCCCACCCGTGACTCAGACCTGGAGTTTAAAAGTTCAGGAGTCAGAGTGAAAACATCTGTTCAGTTCATCTGGATTAAAATACACATGAATGTAACTTTCCTCATTCACAGCAGTGAGAGCTCCATTGTGCAGCTATATCTCTTCTTAATGGACCAACGCAGCTGAATCTAATGGACTAACAGAGACGTCCAGTCTCTGTTTACACTGAACCACATTCAGTCCCATCATTAACATAACAAAAGAGGTTTATGAAGCCGGATCAGACTGAGCAGAGCCTTCACACGGACCAACTGCTGCTGTGGCACTGTGGAGACAGTTCCCATGCCAACACCAGTGTTGCTAGGACACAGAGGAGGAAGGCATGCCAACCCCCCCCCGGAGACAGTAATCAAGGGTCTGAGTGTGTTCAGCTCCGTCAGCAGCGAAGGGGATGAGTAAGAGTCCAGAGAGATTTGCATCATTGGGATCAGACTCTGAAACGAGCTGAAGCTTCAGTGTTTGTTATGAATTCACTGCAGATTGTTGAGGCCGAAATTTAGATTTTCCCATTTTCTAAGAATTCAAAAGGAAAAATAATATTTTTCAAGGCTCTTGAAAGATTTTGTGTTGCTCCACTAGACTAAACTAGACGTAGAAGATCAACAGAGGTAAAACCTACAAAAACACTTCCCACAATGCAACTCAAAACACATTTTTAATTAGCGGCTACCCACAGCTTGGCTAACTACCTGCTGAAAGCGGAACGGCCTGCACTGAACATAATCATCCAACCACTGCTCCTCCATCTCTGCCAGCTCCGCCTGCAGGTCCGGCTCCGGACACGAGGTCACAACCTCTGGAATTGGTTGGTGGGGGTAAAGTTCACTGTCGCCCGCCCCCCTGCAGGGTGACCTCAGCGAGATGGACGGATGCAGCGAGAGGCTCTTTTCCAGTTTGGCCTTGACAAGAACTGGGAGCTTGCTGCCTCTTTGAGGCTTCACTGGCCGATACTCCCAGCCCCTCAGGAGGCAAAGCATCATCTCAAGCCCAGAGAGCGAGCTCTCACTTGGGGGGTTGTCCCACGGAGTTTCCCTTCTGGCTGGAGAAACCTCTGGATCTCTCTCGAGCTCCATTTCTTCCCTCCCTTTGTGATTTGGAAGAGGGCAGCTCACGTCCACGGCCGTGTCGAGAGATTCGACAGAGGACGCGGGACTTGTACTCGTCTGGTCAAACACGGTCTTATCAGCGTCCAGCGCAGCCGAAGGAGACTCTAGCTCCAGGGTCGTAGATGCAGATTCTTCAGAGGATCTGATGGGGTCTTCAACGTCTAGAGCGCCGGTTGAGTAGCGGGTAGATGGCCCACATGATGTGCTCCTTCGACCAAGACTGCGAGGCACCTTACACACCGCCTCATAGTCAGAATCTGCGACACGGAGTGCAGCACAACCCCTGCATCTCCTCGGCTTCTGGCCAGACAGGGCGTCTCCTCCGTGGCAGTGGTGGACATGGTGGGGTTGGTCGAGGGTAGGGTCCCCCTTATCAGCCCATGACTCATAGACAGAGAACGCCAGATCATCCTGAATCATATCCGAGTATCTCACGTCCTGGAGGACTGATAGATCCACCACAGGGGTGTCTTCAGTCCCCACATCTGTCCCTGCTACCTCCATACTGGACCCGGGCGGAGCCGCGCTCCCATCGTCTGTGTTGTTCTTCCGGTACAAGCCTCCGATACACTGCCGCAGACGATATTTTTCCAGCAGCAGCTTGTGGAGGCGCTCCAGGGACAGGGCCTCCACTCGGGCGATCACCGTGTCGAAGCGGTACATGCGGTCCAGCATGAAGGCGCACTTGGAGCAGGCGAACTCCCCACGGCCGTCCCGGGTCAGCTCGCGGCCCACGGCGTGGGACAGCAGCACCTGCAGGTTGAGTTTCGCCGCCGGGTGGAAAATCCATCGGCGTTGGTTGCCACAGAGCTCGCGGGCGCAGATACGACACGACTCCTTCATCTTCACGACGTCCAGCATCACAACAGCAAGTGATTTTAAAGTGGGCTGGACCCGAGCGCACGTTGAGGTCGTAGGTCACGCAGACGTTTACCAGGTGAGACTTTTGAGTTTATATTTTATAAGTTTATAAGTTTCTCGATCTCGAGTTCCAAGTCGTCTTCAAACAGCTGAGATCATTTAGTCAGTTAAGATCATTTAGAGTCAAACAGACCAGACAGCTCCGGGTGTAGGGGGTGGGGGGGATACGACAGAGTGATTGACAGCTAGTACCGTCCAATGCGCGCAGGTGGCAGGTGTAGATGGGCGTGTCCTCGAGCTCTCAGTCAGGCTCCACCCCCTGCTCATCCAAATATGGTTACTTCTGGTTTCAAAAAACCAAGGTGGCGCTGCACGAGATGTCAAACTGAGGCTTCACAACAGTTCATCCTGTCGTCGTCACTGAATGAACGGAGGATGATCGAGGCTCCGAGTTTAATCTTCAATCTGACGTCAGAACAAATAAAATCAATTCACTGTTTCTGATAATTACAGACAGAGATGAACGGGATGAAGAGTATTTAAAACCCTGGATGAGGAGGAGACAGTGGAGGCTGCAGATGATGAAGAGGAGGCTGCAGATGATGAAGAGGAGGCTGCAGACGATGAAGAGGAGGCTCCATCAGTCCTGATTAATCTTCCTCTGGATCCAGATGATTTGATCACACGTGATTCCAGATGTGTCCTCGGCTCTCACTTCCTCATGTGTCCTCGAGCTTTTGTTTTCTAAAATGA